AAGAAGTTTATAGCTTAAAGGTTGTTAATCGTTTAATGGTTGAACTTTTTGATTAATTCAATTCGTAATTTTCACGTTTTATCCTTATTTAATAATAATTCCTTAATCAAAATTTGAAATCTTTCTATCAGAAAATTTAACTACAATAAAAAAGTTGCAATCTCAACGAAAAATAAAATTTAATTCTCGACTTAAGGAACATTCCAACTGATACAAACTTAAAGAACATTCCAACTGATACAAACTTAAGGAACATTCCAACTGAATGTGGTATTTTAGTTATACTTAAAATGCGCCAATCAAATTCTCAATTTCTAAAACCACATTTAATATAAGTTTTTACTTTGATGAAAAAATGACAAAAATATTGTCGGTGCAGTGTTGGAAAATGTTTGTATTAAAGTGAAAAGTTTGCTTTCAAAACATTTGAATTCTATACAAAATCGTTTTCTTCTTCTTCTTTTTTTTAACAAAAAGAGAAGGAAGGAATGTCGCCACTCGTCGCTCAAGATGAAAACCAATTATACTTTTCAGTATGTTTTCGTACGGCAGCGTCAAAACAGATTGGCGCTAGCACCAAAAGTTCCGTAACACAAAAATGACGTAATAATTGTAATTAAAAAAAGATAAAAAGTTTAATTGAATCTATTTATTTAAACTTTATTAGATATTCTCAAACAATGAAGAGAAATTTAGGGAATTTAGCTGTTAACAAAATCTTGTTTCTCAATGAAAACCTTCCAGCTAAAACTTCACAATATAAATTAATGTTTTATTTTAATAAAAGCATCTTATTCAACATTTCAAATTTAGAGCAAAATGTTATTTAACATGTTTAATCAAAGCTCTCTAATTAATGAAGTGACTTTTGATTGAACTTTTAATCTTATTTCGTTTTGTTCCGGAAAATTATGTGCTAAGTATAACGTGTATTGTAATTATTGTTAATTTATATAATCACTAACGTAATTATATTAGCTACATAATCACTAAAATAGGTCATTAAAATTAAAATAATTTTAGATTAATCTAATTTTTATGCATATTTAATTTTTTTATATTTATTGTTTTCAGCTTTTATTTTTTTAAATGGGGAAAAAAAGCTTAGAAACAGTATCCTTAATATTTTTTAGACGGGAAAAGAACAAAAAAAACCAAGAATTAAAACTTTCAATGTCAAATTATAAAAACTCAAATTTAAAATAACTTTAGCTGAAGCAGGGAAAATTAAATTAATTTGTTTTAAATTAATGAGCTTATAATTTAAAAAGCTATCTTTCTGATTAAGGTTTGAAGCACAAATGCAATATTTTAGTTAATATTTTGAAAAAGATAACTAAATTATATCAAACTTGGGGACTGCTCACAAAATGCGTTAGATTTAAACAAAGGCTGTACAAGAATATTTTTTTATAAAAGAAAATAATAAATAAATAATTAAAAATAAATATTTAAAATAAGAAAAATAATTTTTTCAAATGCTTTTTTTAGCTAAATAAAATTGGGAAACAGAATAGCACTAAACCATCATATAGGGATTCGAAACCATCATATTATAGAGGAAATTTATTGAAACTTTAAGTAAGTGTTAAATTCAACAATATACCCCATTCAACAATGTATTCAATTTTGATATCATATTATCAAATTCTCGAACAAAATGGGACGCGTCAGGATCCTTAACGTAACAGAATAAATTATACTAAGACAAAAGTTTGTTAGCAATAAGAAATTTAGAATCTGATTTCAAAACATTTCTTTTAGATAATATATACTGTCAAATCGTAATATCGTAAAAATTTGAGGCAATCTTAATGTAATGAAAAGTTTAACCATATTTTTGTAATAACTTCATTACATGATACTATGGTTTAACTTGGATACATGGGTCAATTCAACACCATGTTACGGTTCTACCCTGAGAAAAAAAGTATGGTCAAAACTACTACAGAAATACTGATAAAATCCACCATTGTTTCTGGCTCTATCGGAACACTAAAATATCTTTTCATTATTTTGTTTTCCAGCTTTTTAGTTTTTTTTAAATAAATTTTTTTAAAAATATTTAAATACTTTATTTTAATAATTTTTCTTCTTCCCTTTTCAATAATACACAATAAATAAATACAAAAAACACGAAGAAAATTAAGAAAAACAATAAGTTTTATTTATTGCGCATAAGCTGCAAGTAAATAGAGCTCATAAAATAAAATCAAAATGTAGATAAAAACAAGGGAAAAATTACTGAACAATGAAAAAAGGGGGGAAAAAAGAAAAAATAATAATAAAAATAACAAAAAACCGGAAGAAAAAAAATCCGAAAAAAAAGGAGAAATTTTTTTTTAAAAAATCCGGAAAATAAAAGATATAATGTTTTTATCAGCCCACACGATTATATCCACATTTTTAACTTATTGTGTTCTATTTTATTTGGTGTAGTTTTTTTGTAAAATTTTTTGAGTGCTCCCCACACTATTGTATTGATATATTTTGCTTTGGCTATATTGATATAATATTAGAAAGCACTCTTTTTTGCGGATATAATTGTGTGGGCTGATGAAAAGATTATATCTTTTATTTTCCAGATTTTTAAAAAAATATTTTCTCCTTTTTTTCAGATTCTTTTTTTCTGGTTTTTTGTTATTTTTAATTTTATTATCATTTTTCCTCCACCCCCCCCCTTTTCATTGTTCTGTAATTTTTCCCTTGTTTTATCTACATAGCAAGTGTTAGCTAGAATTAACACTTGCACTAACTAACTTTAATTTTGGTGCGAGACCTCATTTACTGTCTTAAAACCAAGTAAAACCTTAGTACATGTGAGTTAAATATACAATAACAAGATTAGATTTCAGACATGATAGACCACGAGCAAGTTTAGATAATAAATGAATACTTCCAGTAGATTTCAAAGCGCTAGAAGAGGAGTTACTTTTGAAACGTTTGTGATTTTAAGAAAGTATGTTTTGTTACGGACTTCCTAACTTGAGAAGAAACGAATATGGTCTATCACAAGGTATATCAAACAAAACATCATATACATTAAACTTTATAAAACAGTGCTAAAATATGTGCTTCTAATTTAGGTTCTACTGATAAGATAGCGTGCTTTTTATATCACAGCGTTTCCACAGTTGTAATGATTTTATTTTGTACACAAATTAGCAAGAAAAATTGCTTTTAAATAGAAAAATACTAAGGACCTAATTTATTCCTTGCTTTCATCTATGGCCAACCACACAAATATATATAAAAATTGCGATTACCACAATTTTATTAAGAGTTCGATAAGTTTCTGAGAGCATCGAAAAATTTGTTTATTTAATTTAAATTGTTGCAAAGGTTATTTTTTACATTTGTATCATTAAAAAACCCGGGCTATAGCAAATTAAATATTTGTGTGCTTGGATCAATGCGTGATAGTAAGGAGCATATTTGTTAATGAATAATAATCAACACGGGTGTGAATTTTTTTTCTTCAAATGTATATGTAGTCTAAGATGTATTTCTGTATTTTATATTGCAACTGAATTAAATATTAAACGAAGCATCAATTAAAGTTTTAGTTTCACTATATGGTTTGCCATAGATATTGAAATGTACACTGAGAAAAAAAATATGGTCAAAAGTGCCAAGAAACGGTAAAATTTACCGTGTTTTTAGCTCTTTGGGATCAGCAGAAAGCTGGGCAGTTTTTACCGTATCGCTTTGTTAATGATTTTGATAAAAGTGTATATTGTTTAATAATGTGTAATAAATTTAGTAAATGTGCGAAAAATTTGGTTAATTACCGTGATACCTTAGATCATGGTATAAAAATCATTATTCGGTTAAATTTACTTTGAAGTTTTGACTTTTTTTACAAAATGTGTGGTTATAAGAACTATAATTTTGAAAATCAGAATTTCCGGCAAACCGTTACTATATGAACTGAAAAAGTTACCAAATGAAAGGTTTAAATACCGTATATTTTGATATTAATAATCAGAATTATGGTTATTTTTTACCAAAAATGTCATTTCCATACGGTACCGTAATTTTACCAGAATTTTTTCCACGTGTATTATAACTATTATACGATACAATTCGTTGAAAAAGCACTCTTCGTAGCTCTAACACAAGGCACAAATATTCTCTGTAATTTTTTTAAAAAAAAATACATCTCGTTACGTAATAGAACTAATTGAACCTCTTTCTTGCCTATAAAGATTGAAACAAATGTTTATTGAAAACGAAACTCCGTCCATCACACGTTGTATATTCGACAAAAAGACGCAAAATATTATCTATATTTGATCAACTGCTGCTGGTATCGATGCATGGCTGAAATATGCAAACAATTTGGTAATTTAATCACGAAACCTTTTTTTTTTATTTCCAATGAGCTGCACAATCGGTCTTGCCGATGAGCAGACCTAGTGCGTTCTCCAGAGGTGGTATCCACTCTTTTAGGACCACCACAATGGGCGAGATACCGTTCGTCATGTTAATTTGGACGTCTAGTTTCTGCCACACTAGATGGCAGCACCGAAACACTATTTGGATGCTAAAGTGCACTAGGAATTTAATTTTGCCGGAAATGCCAAGAGCATATAAGGCACTCCGGGGATCTTTTACATGCCGCATAATCATACGATATGGTCGCTAATCCGGTGTCTGGGCCGGGGATCGAACCCGCAGACTGGGCTCAGAAGACCGACGACAAACCAACTGTGCCACCCAGCCACCACGAAACCATAGAACATGGCATAAAAACCATATATTCGTATAAACTTACTTTTCAGTTTCGTATTTTTTACTAGATGTGCTGTAATAAGAATTATAATTTTGAAAAGGAGAAAAGTTATGGCTAGTAATGGCCTCTACAGAATTTGATATGTGCCTTGTGCTAAGAGTTGAAGCAAATAAAATATGTATTCTGCCTAGTTCAGGGATCTAAGCAACCCAAGTATAAAAAATAAAAAGCAATCTACATAAGGAAAGGAAGGGGGGCTATTTACGTTATTTTGGCTACAGCTCATTACTTTAGAGCCATGCGTCCGTAGACTACTGTCGGTGGCGAAGCACTTGCCGCACGTGTTGCAGACGTACGGCCTGTTCTTGGCCCGTTCCACTTGGCTCTCATGGTTCCGAAGGTGTTGCTGTAGATTTGATAACTGTATGAAGGCCCTGTTGCACTCAGGAAGGTGGCATTTATAAGGTCGCTCTCCTGTTTCATGAAAGAAAGAAAAATACATTTATATTAACAATCATCAGCTATAAATATCCAGCCAGGGCACCGGTTAATCCGCGAGAGAAATAAAGAAAGAATTAAACTTCAATTAAGAGTTTATTACGAAGGAAATGAATAATTTTGATAAGTTATGAAAACTTATTATTATTCATATTATAATGAAATTAAGAAAATGATAGGAAATTACGTATAAATCTCATCTCTTATCTAATTTTTTCTAGCATAAGATGAATGGTTCTTCTCTCTGTGGTTAAGGAAAGATTTGTTATCCAATTTCGCGTCTTGTAATAGCTCTCAATTCAATTTCAAGACAAGTTATAGCGTAAATATAAATGCAGGGGTACCCAAACGTCTTAACCCTTTGACGCAGATGAGACAGCAGTCTCCTTTTCATATATATTTTTTCTCATGCTCTAATTACCAGCAAAAATAAATTTTGGTATTTTTTAATTATAAAAAAACAGTCAAATAGTTACTAAAAAAATCTGCTAGATTTTTAGAATGATATCTGTAATAAAATATAAAATCCAAAAAAAAAGGTAGTTTGAAATCCCCCCCCTTTCATATTCAAAAAAATTATCAATAATTGACTTCGTAAATTAAAGTGAGTTCAATGAATAATAACTGTTTCTCTTAGATCTAAATAACCGCAAATTTGGAGAAAAAAAAATTGTTTGGAAGTGAGCAGTGTCAGGAAGATTCTAACGCAGAAAAAGACATTGTCATGTTTTCATAACCATAATTTATTAAAGTGCTACATATAATATTTTTCACTAATTTTGACCTAAATTAATACAGAGTAATGAAAAATGTATAAAAATCTAAACTCAGTGGCGCGTCAGTATATTGAGGACCAAGGTCAACTGAGACCATCTCAGTTTTTTTCACCTTTGGGTTAAGGGTGCAAGAGCAAATGTTACGGTTGGGTGGTCAGCCGAATTCGGATCCTCCAGTGTTTAGTTCCCAAGCACGCTTGGTACTCATTTCATCGACCCATTGAAGGGATAAAAGGCTGAGGCATCTGCTTGATAAAAATTTTGTGTTAAACAGATAATACGTCTTTGTCTTCAATCCACAAGGAAGAATATTAATGTCAACTTGGACTTATTATTTGCCTATTAAAAAATTAAATTAAATTAAATAACTAAGTAATTTAAATTAATACATTACAAATTTTGTACCTAAATTAATATAAAATAATGGAAAAAAGTATGAAAAATCTGATAAAAATTTTGTGTTAAAGTGATAATACGCCTTTAAGAGGAAAAGTAGTGCATCTCATCTTGTATCCACGAGGGACAATATTTATGTCAATTTGGACTTATTATTTGCCTATTAAAAAAATAAATTAAATTAAATAAATAATTTAAATTAAGACATTACAAATTTTTTATCTAAATTAATATAGAATAATGAAAAAAGTATGAAAAATCTGATAAAAATTTTGTGTTAAAGTGATAATACGCCTTTACGAGGAAAAGTAGTGTATTTTCATCTTGCATCCACGAGGGACAGTATTAATGTCAACTTGGACTGATTATTTGCCTATTAAAAAATAAATTAAATTAAATAAATAATTTAAATTAAGACATTACAAATTTTTTTATCTAAATTAATGTAGAATAATGAAAAAAGTATGAAAAATCTGATAAAAATTTTGTGTTAAAGTGATAATACGCCTTTACGAGGAAAAGTAGTGTATTTTCATCTTGCATCCACGAGGGACAGTATTAATGTCAATTTGGGCTGATTATTTGCCTATTAAAAATAAATTAAAATAAATAAATAATTTAAATTAAGACATTACAAATTTTTTTTATCTAAATTAATATAGAATAATGAAAAAAGTATGAAAAATCTGATAAAAATTTTGTGTTAAAGTGATAATACGCCTTTACGAGGAAAAGTAGTGTATTTTCATCTTGCATCCACGAGGGACAGTATTAATGTCAACTTGGACCTATTATTTTCCTATTAAAAATAAAATAAAATAAATAAATAATTTTAAAATGATGCATAAAAGGTTTTTTACCTAAATAATGAAAAAGTATGAAAAATATGTTTAATAGAAATTTTGCGTCAAAGGGTTAATGCACTAAGCATTGTTAGAAATTAAAGAAAGCTAAGCAATTTGAGACTATGTTTAACATTTTTCATGGTGTTTTGAGTTTCTTTTTTTCCAAAACTTTGGTAAGATATTTTGAAATTTAATACATTTGCCCTTTTCAGAAAAAAAGACTGCAGTAAAATTACTGCCAGCTACTTCATTATACCAACACATTGCAATGTTGAAATCCGCGTTTCAGAACAAGTCAGCGAATGGTATGGAGCCGAGAATGCATTTGTACTATTGTAAATTTAAGAACAAATTTCATATCAGCAGGGGTCTGTCCAGACATTTTGTGAAAACAGTTTTTCAAGGAGTTTTTAAATTGTAAATAGATACAAGATTATGCTCAACACTGCAAAATTGCAATAAAAAAATTAAATTTTCAAAAATAAACAGCAATTGCTGCTACTAAATTAGAGATGCAACATGACAATATTTAGTATTTAGCCTATACCGTTGAACGCAGAATATTCATTTCGGACTAATAAAGGAAGAAGCGTCTGCCGAAGAGAAAACTTAGTTCCTTTACATCTGTCTTTCTTTTTTTCCCCCCTGGGAAGGATTTATTCGATTTACAAAACAACAATGAAGATAAACAAATTTGTGAAGGGTCCGATTAAAAGATAAATTATTTTGTGAAGGGTCCTTTTTTAAGTTCAAATATTTTGTGAAGTGTCCGTTTTTATGAAAAGATATTTTGCGAAGGGTCCGTTAACGGACCCGAATTTCTTCTAAACAGACCCCTGATCAGTAAATAAATTAAAATTTTGAATTTCACAAGGTTTAAGAGTTGCAATGATCTTTTGAGTATTTTCTTGAATGATATACTCACGCTGAACACTAAAATTTACATTAAAATTAACATCAAAACTAACCCTGGTATTAGATCAGAAAATAACATCACGCACAGCGTGGCGAGTCAACAAAAGAAGCCATTTTTTCCGAGGAATTTTGTAACAGTGCAAGGAAATTTTCATAATATCAAAATGAAAACAAACTGCGAGAGGATAATTTCTAATTACGTAACGGGGAAGTTCGCTTCCAATATTTTGTTTGCATTTTGACAGCTTGAGTTTTTCTTCCAATAATTTTATTTCATTTCATTTCATAATTTTCGTTGAACAGCTGATCCAATTTCGAGTTTACAACTACCAATGTCCAACTCCGTAATCCCGCAATTTTGAACCCAATCCAGAAGACAAGGGAACTCCTGAATCAAGTCTTGGGAGAAAATTGCCTTCGTGGCGGACTTTTTGATGGAACTAATCCGCATTTGCTATATATGGAAGAGAAAACGACAAAAACCTCCCACGGTTAGCCTCACGGGAAGGAAACTCTAACCCTTGATCCGTCTACCACTGATTATATTTTACGTCAGCGCTGTGGTCGGCGAGAGACGGGTGCAGAATTCGTATCAACTGGTAATTGCTTGGATTCAAACCCGAGTCATCTTGCTGAGAGGCGAGCGCTCTATCCCCTGAGCCACCACGGCTCCTTTCAGCAATTTTATTTTATAACCGTAGCTGAACCGTTCTCTGTAAATCCCCATCTAAATGATGGAAAAAAGTTTTTAACACTTTCCTTTTGCAGGTCAAACCATTTGTTTAATTCTATTTTAATGTCTCCACGAAAAATCTCCATCTAAAATTTGGTTCAACATCGATTTTAATAATTCGTTCCATAGGTTCGACTGTTCTTTATTTATATATTTAAACATTCTTTTACAAAATTTTCAACTAAAGAAAGAAAAATAACTAATAATAATAATTTAAAATTTAATTTCCTTTTTCTCTTTCTTTTTCTTTAATTTTCTTTTTATATTTTTCTTTTTTTCTTTTCTTTTGACACTTCCTTCTTTTTCAAAAGAAAAAAAAAAACTTATTTGCTCTTACTCCTTCATTAAAAAGAAAAATAAATAAATGACAATTATTATAATTTCTCTATCTTAGTAAAATATTTCTCTCCATCTTTTTTTAANGGAACTCCTGGATCGAGTATTGGGAGAAATTTGCCTTCGTGGAGGACTTTTTTGATGGAGCTAACCCACATTTGCGTTACATGGAGAGAAAGACCACGAGAACATCTCACGGTTAGCCTGGCGGCAAGGGGACTCTAACCCATGATCCGTCTACCACTGAGGATATTTCACGTCAGCACTGTGGTTGGTGCAAGCCGAAAGCGGAATTCGTATCGACTAGGATTCGAACCCGGTTCGCCCCATTGGAAGGCGAACGCTCTATCCCCTGAGCCATCGCGGCTTCCCTTCAAGCAATTGTAACTTCATAACTTACTCTAGCGTTGTCTGAAATCACTTTTAGTTCCGGAGGTGAAACAGAATTTGAGATGAAAAGTTTCACCCGCGGTATAGCGTCCCCGTGAACCAACCCAGAAGACAAAAGGAGACTCACCCGTGTGGAGTCTGGTATGTTGTTGCACATGTGACAGTTGCTTGAAGCGCCTGTCGCAGTAGGAACACTTGTAGGGTTTTTCTCCTGTGTGAATTCGGATATGCTGTAACAGCTGGTGATTGGAGGAGAAAGATTTGAGACACTGCTGGCACTGGTAGGGTTTGATGTCACCGCGGTGAGCCTCACGAGAATGATGCTGCATCGCAGACTTGTGCATGAATATCTGAAAAGAGAAAAGAAAAATTTATTCAACACTTGAGAAGTTTGAATAGATAAAATTTCAATGGTTCACAATTAATGGTTTTCCAATAGTTAAGTTTTGCCATAATTTCTTTCAATATTTCAGTAGTTTCTCAGATATGTATAATATGCACCGTTTGTCCTCCAAAAATGTTCGACGATTTGAAAAAGGAAGGGGAAGAAATGTGCTGCATTCTGTTTAGGAAACTTGAAGTATTTTTCAAAAATTTCAAAACTAGTTACAAGGATGGATTTTCTCAATTTTCATTGCTATTTTCAAAAAGAAAAAAATTCAGGAAAAATTACCATACACTGTAAAAACTTTCAGATCAAATTACTGTATAAAGAATAGGAAATTCGGAGCATTATCCGTAGAATCTTATTTTAGCCGTAAAATATTATACAGTAATTTTTATAGTAAAATCTATTTAATTAGAGTGAGTCAGTGATTTTACGGTAATTATTACTGAAAAAACTGTGGCATATCAGATATTTTGTCCGGTAACACGTTACGGTAAAAATGGATTTTACGTCAAAAAGTACCACCACTCTGAGTGTCGGTACTTTTTACTGTAAATTGATCCGAAATTTTTTACAGTGTGTAGTAACAACATTTTTGGCAAAAAAAAAACAACATAATTTAGCTCACGTTATTTAAATAATTCATTTAGTGGTTTTTTTTTACTCATATAGTAACAGTTAACCGGAAATTATGGTTTACAAAATTACACTTCTTATTACCACACATTTAGCGAAAAATATAAAACTAAAATATAAATTTAACCGAACAAATGGTTTTTATGCCATGCTCTAAAATATCGTGATAACATTATCAAATTTATAAAATTTTATCTCATGTTATAAGACTATCTTTTATTGTTTATTTTACCAAAAACATTAGCAACGCGATTCGGTAAAAATGTGAAGCTTTATGGTATACTCATAAAACCGGAAACACGGTAAATTTTACCATGTTCTGGGAGTTTTCATCATATATTTTTCTCTAGTGTGTTAACGAACTTCATGTGAAACTTGGTGAAAAATAATTAAATAGTTTTCTGAGAAGAACACAACAAACGGCAGATTTCTACCTTTTTCTGTTTCCTTTAAATTAAATTTTATCATACTTTATCAACTAAAACAATCAAATAATCGGAATACTCCGTTTTAGAAGTATGACGCTTATATAGACAGTTATTTTAATGAAAAAGTAAAAAAATAAAATACAACAGTCATAAGTAGTAAATATAAATAAGAAATAGGTATAAAATCTAATATATTTTTAAAAATTAATGTTATATTTTTTAAACTAGTAAAAAAATTAAAGGAAATGGAACGTTTTTTAAAATAAAACTTTTTAGAAATAAAACTATTTTAAACGAATAGAAGGTTACACTTAATACATTTCTCAATGAAACTGCTTTTGTGAAATTTTGAAACAAAACAAACAATTATAACAAAAGGGCACGCATGAAAAGCATAACATCCACTGTCGATAACAATGCGAGCAAGGACACACGCTTTTTAAAAAAATTTCATTTGTGTTTAAATCAATAGTTATCACATAAACTAGTAATATTTCATAAAGAATCCTTTATTTTTTTTTAGTAAAAAAGAATAGTATGCTTTCAACTAAACCAGACAATAAAATGTACAGCAAATACTGTAAAATGACTAAACACGTATATCTGTCACACGAAAAACAAATTTCAATATTTTCATTGGTAATTTAGCACAACAGCAACACGTGAGAAATATGTAAAAAAAAAAAAAAATTTTTTTTTCAACAAAACATAACTTGTGGACACTAAACAACATAAATTTTTTTATAAAATTAGCACACAATCTGATAGTGAATTGATGTCTAAATCATTTTAAACTTACTTTAACCCTTTATGTGGTCTTGGAAAGTATATTACCCATGCACGAACCTAATGAATTTTTAAAAATCGATAAGTAGCTATTTCCCCACCCATGGTTTGTGCGGCCATCTGCAAATATTTTTATAAAATAAAACAAAAACGTAAGGTTTTGCTTTGCTTACATAAATGTGGGTAGCAGTAAAGGTTAGCGTGAGATCAAGAAAGAAAGCCAACATTGGGAAGCTATTTTCTCAAGTGCGTTATGCGTTCATTCATTTGATTATATCTCCTAGAGTTTATTAGCAGTTTAATAGACAAAATTTGTAAATTCGGTTATTTATAAACACATAAATTCAAGTTTACGGCCAATACTTTACAGTAGGTAAAATATTGAAACCCCCCCCCTTCATACCAAACAAATGGTCTTAAAAAGCAAAATAATTTTAGAAAATTAGCTAAATGAATTTCATTCTATAAATCAATTTTAATCCTAAAAATAATTTAACATAGTACTACTATAGCAAAATGGCCCTATAAAGGTTAAAAGAAAGTTTAAATTTTAAGCTATTAAAAATCTTAAGTTATTAAAAATCTTCGAGAGAAATTTAATGTATTGAATATACTGGTATAATACGCCGGGTTTTTTGATATAATTGAAAAGTTACAAAAATGGATTAAAATAATACATTACAAAAATACATTAAAAAGTACTAATAATGAAAGGTTTTTCTTCTTTTGCTCTTACGTTACAAAGTTTTCAAGAAAGTACTTGGATATATTTATAAGTCTAACAATTAATTATTTTATTCTTTTACTACGTTGTTGGTGAATGTTTTCTTCTTTTTCTCTTATGCTACAATATTTACAAGAAAGTACTTGCATATACTATTTATAAGGCCAACTAATAATTATATAATTCTTTTATTACGTTGCTGGTGAATGTTTTCTACTTGCATATACTATTTATAAGGCCAACAATTAATTCTTTTATTCTTTTATTACGTTGTTGGTGAATGTTTTCTTCTTTTGCTCTTATGCTACAACATTTACAAGAAAGTACTTGCATATACTATTTATAAGGCCAACAATTAATTATTTTATTCTTTTATTACGTTGCTGGTGAATGTTTTCTTCTTTTGCTCCTATGCTACAATATTTACAAGAAAGTACTTGTATATATTTTATAAGGCCAACAATTAATTATTTTATACTTTTACTACGTTGTTGGTGAATGTTTTCTTCTTTTTCTCTTATGCTACACTATTTACAAGAAAGTACTAGCATATACTATTTATAAGGCCAACTAATAATTATATAATTCTTTTATTACGTTGCTGGTGAATGTTTTCTTCTTTTTCTCTTATACTACAATATTTACAAGAATGTACTTGCATATATTTATAAGGTCAACAATTAATTATTTTATTCTTTCACTACGTTGTGGGTATAGCTCTAGCGTTCGCCAGTCGCCAAACAGAAACTATTGCATAGAACGGCAGAGGTTAACAATTTTTTGGTGGAACCTCGACCATTAAAAAACGTTCATTACCAGATGTAAATATATTATTTTAATCCCATTTCGTATTCCTATTGTCAAAACGGTCCCTTTTTAATCTTTTGAGTACATGAATAATTCGGTGTATAGACGAGTAGAACTGCAAACTACAAATGGCATTATTAATCGTAAAATAATATCATTCAAATATCAGAGGTATACAAGTGATAATATGAAAGCTGAGACATTTTAGAGAAGGTCGACATTTAAAAGATATTTTAATCCCATTTCGTATTCCTATTATTAAATGGTCCCTTTTTAATTTTAAAGTACATTGATAACGGCGTATAGATGAGCAGAATACCAAATTACACTCATGAAGCACTAATGGAATTATTAATTATTATGTATATATGTATTATGGTATAGATGGGTAAAACAATTATGGTATTATGGCAAAACAATTTTTCAATTTAAATTTAATATATTGAGAAGTTAAAGAAGGATCATATAAAACAATACCGAATTTGTTAAGTATTGTTCGGTTTGTACGAAGTTCAAATTTAAAACATAGGATTTCCGTAATCCTGACATGAATAATTGCATATTTTGCTTGAAGAGGCATTGATTATCTCGAACAAATCAAAAACTATACTCGCGAGCTTGTTTAAAGTAGATACTCTTTACAAGAACAAGGTTATTTTACAAACAAACAAAAAATCCTTTGCCGATAATGTTCGACTTTTCAAGTTCAAGCAGTTAGTATTGTCTGTTGGTATTACTGAATTAATTCAATTTATCTGTTTAAAAAAAACTTATACTTATTCTGATGCGATTGAATCATAAGGTGACAGACGAACGCTTCCCCAATTTTCCTGTTCGCTGAGCCGATTAGGTTCAGCAGTTTTTTCAACAGCTTTTGCTCGTAACAAACATGCACCAGACATCAATGATAGACAGAAAAGTCAGACACGTTTTTAACATTACATGATGTCAGTAATAAAAAGTAACAGTTTCATATAAATCGAAGATATATAAATATATTTATCGATACAATGTAAAGATTGATTTTTTTTTTAACTGATTTTTTTAATTTCACTCAAAAACTGAAAGGTTTACACACGTCCAAAAATGTGCGTATGAAACAAATTAAATATTAACAAGAAGATATTAAGTATGAATAAATATAGATGGAGTATATGTAAAGCATTATTATTAACAAAGTAGCGATACTATAAAAATTATTAAGTACTAACTCCAAGTGCATGAGTACTTGCAGATAGTGTACTGAGAAAAAAGTATGGTTTTGACCATACTTTTCTACTAGAATACTACCAGAATACGGTAAAATTTACACAGTTTCTGGCTATATGGAAACACCAAAAAGCTCGAAAATTTTTTACTGGAGCATTTCGGTAATGATTTTAATATATGGTTATATACTATGCGACAAAGTTTGTTAAATGTGATAAAATTTGGTAATTTTAACATACTTTAATTTAGAACATGGCATAAAAGTTATTTATTCAGTTAAATTTACTTTTCAGTTGTGTATTTTATATTAAATGTGTAATAAGAACAATTATTTTGAAAAAAGACTTTCCGGTACACCATTACCATATGAAC